TTTAGAAATGGATTCTCCATTTCCACCTTTCCCTCTTCCACTCCCCACTGGACATCTTTGGTTTTAATGAGCTCAGGGAGGCCAGCGGGCAGGCCGAGGTAAGAGGGTTGTGATTATGAGGTCAGGGACCAGACTTGCAAGACTCGAGGGACGGAACCTTTGGGAACAAGGAAAAAGGAGTGTATAGAAGCAGAAGAAAACATGGAGAAAAGGGAGGAGGGTGGAACCTTATCGAGGCAAGAAGAAAGGGAAGAAATGGAGGAGGAAAAGAGGAGGGATAGAGTCAGGATGGGGTAGAAAGGAAGAAGATAAGGGGCTAAGGAGAAGACCTCTTTGTGCCAACCTCCCACTGAGACAGAGCAGAAACAAATATTTTAGAGCAAGGTCAGCTGCGCCCAGATGTGCCTTAGATGCTCTTTATGTGAATCTGCCAGGGATTCAGGCCACCAGAGTCCCCAGTTCTCTCCTGATACAAGAACTCCCATGCTGCTAGTCCCTGTTCCAACTGTCAGTGGCAAGGGCATCCCACATCCCTTAAAAGCAGTGTGGCCATTCCTATTCTTGAGAGCTGGAACATTACATGCTTACTCAGGGTCTGAGGAAGGATGAGGAAGACCTAAAAAGAAGATGCTGGCAAAGAGAACTTCCAGATCACTTTATGTAGGGAGAGGCTCTGATGGAGTGAAGAAATCAGAGAACGTGTCATCAGAACATGTGAGTTTAGGACCAGCCCGGTGGCGCAGTAGTTAACTTTGCACATTCTACCCCGGCAGCCCAGGGTTTGCTGGTTCAGATTCCGGGTGTGGACCTATGCACCACTTGTCAAGCCATGCTGTGGCAGGTGTCCCACATGTAAAGTAGAGGAAGATGGGCGCAGATGTTAGTTCAGGGCCAGTCTTCCTCAGCAAAAAGAGGAGGATTGGTCACAGATGTTAGCTCAGGGCTAACCTTCCTCAAAAAAAACAAAAGACATGAGAGTTCAGGTTCCCCTGCTCTCCCACTTAATTGCTGAGTGGCTCCTAGACAGGGTTTAAGTTTTATTATCTATAAGACACCTCTCTGTCTTCATGCTTACCTATGGTTTATTGAGATAACAGATGCAAACCCTAAAGTGCCTTGTGTACCTCCTGTGGCACTTGCCACAGCCTTATGTTTAAATACTTGAATAGTGTATCTTTATTCGTAGGTTATGTGCTCATCAAGGGCAGGATACTTGCAGGCTTATCGTCTAGCATGGTGCCTGGCACAGAGCAGGTGTGACACATATCTGCAACAGACACCTAATAATTAAATAAACAAGGAAGATGATGGTTTTCTTTTAGCAATCCCAGTAAGCAGATCTCTAGAAATTATACCATCAGCTCTTCAACTGATCTGCGGCTATTTAGGCTTGATGTGGCAAGTATGGGCTTGGTTTTACTGGCTTAGGTCATATTTCCCCAGAGATTGAAAAATACCTAGGGACCATTTGCACATCCCTAATTTTTCCATTGTAAATTAAGGAATGAATTTAATTTTGACATCTTTTTAGGTTAAAATATTTTATTATCTAAAAACAATCAATTATTATGAGCAAATGAAGTCTGTAATGATACCTCCTGGTACAACATAGAAAATGACACACACACACAATGTTGTAATTTTAGTACGTGTGCAATATCATTCCACTTCCAGCAAATGTATACAAAAATAACCATAAATTATTTAAATATATAGCAGATGTGTGTTTATATTTTTAAATAGTTGCATTTCTCCTTTGAGTGGAAATACCATGATTTCCTTAGTCATTCTGTCATATGATATTTTGGTTTTGCCAACCTTTCACTGTTAAATAAGCATTGTTTCTTGCATAAGAAATAATTATTATTACTTTTTTTTAAAAAAGAACAAAACCTAAAGCAGTTGGTTGAGTGCCTCGTTTGTGCTGAGCACTTTACTTGTAGTGTGCATCACTTAATTTTCACAACCCGCGAAGTGTGTATTATTTTTCCTCTTTGTACAGAAAGAAACTGGAGCCTAGAGAAGTAAGTAGCTTGGCTAAGTTACACAGCCAGTGAATACAGAGCCAGGATTTCTACAGTACTCAGGTCTGCCTAATGCCCAAACCCCTATCCCTCTAAACCGCAAAACTCTTAGGGACAGGAGTGTAAGGTCAAAAGGTGTTACTAGCTTGTGGCTCTAACTACATTTTTCCATGTTGCGTTCCAGAAGCTTGTGCTGTTGTATAAACTCCACTCCCTGAGTATACTGTTTTCTCCATAACTTTGTCTGACTTCATTTTTTAAGCTAAGAAACATACAGAGCCACATCCACTCTCTTCATTACCTTATAAGTATACTGAATCCATCTTGAGCTTGAGTATCCCCTGCCTGGAATGAGCATGGATTACAGCACAGTCTGCCCTGAGTTCACCTAGTCCTGGGCTCTCACCCTTACTCGAAGGTGGGGCACAGGTGATTTCCTGCCTTTCCAAACTAGCAATGGAGAGAAATTATACTTCCTTTTTTATTTATGATCACCCTCTTTTCATTCCCTTCACCCCTTTGAGAAACGTAGCAAAGCGTATTCTATCAAAATAAGAGATACAGGGCACTCTGCTTTGAGATGTCCTGCATTTCCTTCATTGCATTAATGCCAGTGCTGGGGTAACAAGTCTGGAATAAAGAATTGATCAGCAAACATCAGGAAATGTAATTATGGGGGAGGTGGGCATTGGAAACTTCCACAAGAACTCAGGGACCATTTGCACATCCTGTTATTTTCTTTTGATCAGGGATGAGTTTAATGTTCCATCAAGCATGTGGGAAGGGATCAGAGAGAAAACATGGGGTTCCTCTCTGCTGGTTCCTCTCTGAAGAGCCACAGAGCATGCCTGCTTAGGAGGTCCCTTTCTTGTTAGTTACTGTTTAGTCATTCACTTTCGCTGTGATGCTTCCTTGGTAAAATAGTGTCTTTCAGGCTTGCTTTTAGTATCTCCTATTAAAATAGGCCCTGTTACTTTTTGGTCCTATGGTGTCCATGAGGGTTCTAATATCATGCACACATACATAGCCTTTGTGCAAAACCCATGCAGCCACCCTTGCTGTGGTTCGGACAAAGGTTAAGTTGGTATCTTATTATTGAGGTTCGTTTGGAGTTTTTTCTCTTGCACCAGGCTCTTGCAAGTATTAGAAATAAATAAAAACGGTTTAGCTCTGGCTCAAAGAGGATTTTTCCCCTGCAGCTGATTTTACTATAATATATAGCTTAATATAAAACCTAGCATTCTGAATACAGTTCGTCTTCAAAGTGGATTAGGGTTGGTGCTTTGGGCATTTCCAAGGCATTAGTTACAGTACATTGCATCAGCTTTACCAGTTGCTTCTCCTGTAATAAAAGGGATAGAAAGATCCCCGCTTGACTAGAAGACCCAAATGCCATCTTTTAACGTCTGTGGAGTGTGATGGAGATGATAATTGAATGGCAAAACCACCCCTATTGTAAGGAGGCAATGAAGCATGTTCTAGTTCCCTTAGAAAAGGCAAGTACAGAAATGCGAGAGGCTTGAGAGTTCTATTCATATGAGTGATAATAATAATGATAACAATAATGATCATGATATTGCCACTATTTTCAACCTGCCCCCTTCTCCACAGGGCTTAAAATAAATAAACCTGTATTTTAAGCTATTAGGTTGACCTCAGTCTTTATCCATCTCTCTTTTTGTGAGGGGGAAGCTACTGAAATGATAAAAATAGATTTCCTGTGTGCGACCTGTGTGGCGCTGGGTAAAGTGGATTTTCATAATGCTGTGTGGCGTGTGTATGATGTGTCTGTGTGACCAGACATCCCGCGCTACCCGATGTACGTTATTACGTTAGTGATGAATATGCGATGCTCATACACACAGATTGCTGACATAAAAATAAGACAACCATGAACTTTTCTTAACGTTTACTAAGTGCTAGGGGCTGTGCTAAGTGCTTTACGTGTGTTACCTCGTTTATCTCTCAGAACAAGCCCATGACATAGGCACTATGGTTGTCAATCTGATTTTTCACAAGGGTTAACCGAGGCACTGAGGGATTAACGAAGTTGTTGATAAATGGTGAATCCAGAATTTGAACTCAGACGTTCTGATTCCAGAACCCTTGCACTTAATTGCTAGGTCATACTGTCTCCCATAAGTAAGGAAATAAATGAGTATTATAAGCTTAATATAATTGGAAAGTGTGCTGTAAATGTCAAGGATGTGCAAATATGCCTGCCAGCTTTGGGAATTCATATGTCCGGGATATGTATCTGCACATACCATACATATGTTTATCTGAAACAGGTCATGTGATGGATATTAAGAATTCATATGGTGTTTTGTACAAGGCATACGCAACAATTGTGTAGTATAGGTGTATGAATGAGTTAGCAAATCAGGTACCAACATAGGACCAAGATGCTGACAGTAAAGACTGAGATCATTCCACACCACGGGAGAGACCAGGCTAACGTGGGAGATCACAAGCTCTGGCTTGAGATTGTGCAGGTTGAACCCCAGTGCAGCTGCTGCGTAGCTGTGTGTTTTTAGACGACCCTTCCAAGCCTCCTGTTTTCTCATTTGAAAATGAGGATAACAACTCACTCATTGGGTTGATTTGAGGATTAATTGAGATCATGCCTGATTCATGTAAGCATGTAGTAAATATTAGCTAGCCTTACTGTGATTGTATTTGGATATTAGGCTAATTTAAAGAAAATTCTCTTCCTAACATCAGCACAGAAGCTGTGTAGGTAAGTTGTTCTTTGTAACATTTCCCCTCAGAAAACAAGCATATTGTTCCTGGAACCTGGGCCAAACACTCACCCATATAAGTACTTAGTGCCAATAAAATGGAAAACAGATTATTTTGACAATGTGCTGTAGTCCTGAGGTAGGACGTGAGAGGGCACTATTAGTAAAACAGTAACAGGAAGGATGAAGTAGTTTAGCGTTTAGAAGAATGTGGTAACTTCTGTAAATCTAAAACTCTTCTTAAAATAATGTTTATTTTTTTAAAAGTGCATGGTAATATGTTTCTGGATTCAGCTCTTCCATGATTAATGGATCAGCTTCATTTTGTATCACAGCAAACAAGCTAACAAAGGCAGCCACGGATAGGCACTTCCTGAGCCTGGTTCCTTCTCTGTACAGTGTCGGGGCTGGCTTCCTCTAAGGTATTTTTCTGCTTTGAAACTGAAACAGAATGAACAGACATTTAGGGGGAATTAAATTATGGCTTAATGTTGGCCTTATAATAAGCATTGGCAGACATCCTTTGGACAGGAGACTATGGAAGAGGATGGTTATTTTCTGGATTGTGGGCAGCACCAGAACTCAAGAGGGGCTGGGGTTCCTGAGGGGAAGTTTGGGAGATTGGCCTATCTGGAGATCTGTGGAAGAGAGTAGGATAAAATCCCTTCTCGCAGGAATGGTTAGGCTGAGGCCCTCACGGAATACCAGAAAGAGAATTGATTAAACTCTAATTCAGAGTGTCGGGGGTCGTAGAGCAGAACTTGTGAACTTAACCGTTGTGCCACTGGGCTGGCCCCTAAGGTGTTTTCTTAAGAGTTCATAGATAAGCTGCTGTTTCCAAATGCATTCTTGTTCCTTCCTTTAATTGCTCCCCAAGGATCCATAGTCCAAACACCCTTATCTAAGAAACCTGAGCTTTTAGTTAACCAGGAATGACTGTTCTGGGCAAAGAGCATTATAGTCCCAGGTGAGTTCTCCTGAGACCTCTTATGTGATGTAGGCTGAGTGTGATGTGATAATCCAAGGGAAGTTATGACCGCAGTCAGAGCTGTCCCTAGGGGTACTGCAGGGCTGAGACACGGGGTGTTCTTCAGTCTTTGCTCTGCAGAAGGGCTTTGCAGTGGAGGAGCAAACTGCATAGAGTTTGACGCTGGAAAACGAATTGCATGGGGCGTCTCTTCAAACCTCCTGACCCGTCTTCACTCAACGCTCCCCCACCCATCATTTCTTCATTCACATATGTTTACCGAGCATATACACTGGGTGGGGCAGTGAGCTCGGTAACAGGATAACAAAGATGAATGGGACATAAATCTTGCCTTGATGGCCGTGGCAGTCCGAGGGGAGATGGAAAATGCACATTAATAATTGTGGTACAAGGTAGAAAAGGATTTGTTGAAAAGTGGTATGGGTAAACTGCTTCAAGGGTTTTTTTTTTTTTTTTTGCTTGAGGAAGATTAAAGCCCTGAGCTAACATCTATGCCAGTCTTCCTCTATTTTGTAGGTGAGTCACTGCCATAGCATGGCTGATGAGCAGGGTAGGTCCACGCCCTGCATCTGAACCCATGAACCTGGGCCGCAGAAGCAGAGCATGCCAAACTTAACCACTAGACCACAAGGCCAGCCCCTACTCCAAGGTGTTTTTTATACTAGGAAGGATTGATTTAAGTAGATAAGGAGGACATTTTTAAAGGAGAAAAGAAAGAGAAGTCATAAAAAGACAATTAGAAGAGCAAGAATACGGGTGGGCTTGCTACGGAACCTCGGAACCTGTGGAATACCATAGACCCTTAGGCCTGAAGGTGCCTTCTGAGGTCATCTCATCTCAACCTCAATGTGAGGATGTCCCCAACAGATTCAGTCTCTGCTTGAACACCTGCATTGACGGGGAACTCACTAGTTATTTTTGGATTAACAGTGTCTGGTCACTGAAAGAAGTTGGGGGATCTCTAAGAATATTGTGTGTGTATGTGTGTGGCAGAGAGAGAGAGAGAGATGGAGACAGAGACAGAGAGACAAAGAGAGAAGGGAAGAGAAGGGTGAGGGAGAAAGAGGCAGGATGGTAACCCAGATTTTCAGTATCATAGTGCGGATCTGCCTGAAGGACAGTGGGTCCAATAAGTGCTGACGGGTTGTTCTTTGAGTTAAGCTGGGGAGATTTTCTTATGGTGGCGATGGAGTCTAATGTCCTGGTTCCAAGGTCCGAGGATGCAAACACGAACTTGCACAGAATGTGATCATGTGAGCAAGCCTTCAAGAACGGAGACTTTGCTCTGGCTGGTGAGATTTAAGCCTTACTACGTCTTGAAAACACATTAGATCTACCTTTGGAAGCTAAATTAGAACCTGAAGACCACAGAGAAACTACTTTTAAAAGTCTTTTAGCATTTATTAAGCTACCATTTCAGCAGGCGATGGCAAGCCTCATTTTAAGCAAACTAAATTAGTGGAGCCTCGGGCTGCCCTGTCAGTAAGAGGCCAGTGGTCTCCTCCTCTGGGCAGGCCCAGCTTGGAGCACTGTGTGGGCAGTCCTCAGTAATAGGAGCCTCCAGGCACCAGCACTTGCACAGCCCTGCTGACTCACCCCAGACCTACAGGGTGACTTCTTAACAGGTAAGAGGTACTAGAGACACTTGGGTACAAATTAGGAATTAGCGTTGTACTGACATTATTAGTTGCAAAAGAGAAACTGCATCCGTGGCCTGAGCATGCCATAAAAAGTATTCCTTGCAAGTATTTCTAGCCAGTGAGTTTTGCTAAATATTTGGGATGGCATTTCTTTTTAAAATATTTAGAATTTAGTAGGAACTCCCAAGGAAATTGGTATTAATGCTACGGTATGTTTAGTTTAGGGAACAAATAGAAACTGACTGAATAAACAAGGAAACAAAGTGTGTTACTTTGCAGAATCGCAATCTCAAATATTAATTTGTTTACCAAGTTGCAAATCAAATAAAAGCCTTCACAAAGAGCGACAGAGAGAAGCAGTTTGAATAGTAGATGAAAAAATATATTTTATAGGAACTTCAAATGGAGTAAAACAGGGGAATGGAGAAAACACTGGGTTTGGAGTCAGAATACTTGGGTTTGGATCACATCTTGACACCTAAAGTTCTTAATCTCTCTGGGCCTCAGTTTCCTCATCTCTAAAATGAGAAAAATGACACTACCTCATGGGATTTTTACGTGGCTTAAGTGGGAAAATACAGTGCTTGGCTCAAGAATTCCTAGGTTAATCTGAAAATTTTTAGGACATTGGAACGTTTCTAATCCGTGCCCGACTAAAGCAGATTTTTCATTTGGTTCAAGTCCTTGTTGTCACGTATTTGCTTTGAACTGAAAGGGTAAGAGCAGGGAAGCTGATTATTTACAGACACACTTTTATTAAGTATTGTTGTTGCAAAGTCGTATATAAATCAAGTAATATTTAAAAGGCATTAGGGGAATTTCCCACATAAAGGAATTCTGTTTGTGTAAAGCAAAAAGATGTTTCCAAAAGCAGGTAACCGTTCTGTTATATCTTTTGTGCAAATCTAAATGTTGACATGTTGGGATTAGTTCTAGCGAGGTGTTTATGTTTGATTAACTTCCCGCTCTGTGTGGGCTTATGAGGGAATTAGATGCACACAGACTGTGCAGACAAAAGCACAGTGAGTGGACTCCGGAATGCAATTTGTTTTTTTTTTTAAATTACTCTTTGAGGTCAAAATACTACCTGCAAAATAATACTGGAAATAATTAAGGTAGAATTTGACCCAAAGATGTTTGATTTACAGAAAGCAGTTTCAATTCCAGCCTTATGACTTTGGACATGATTTATCTTGCCAGTGCCTCAGTTTCTCATCTGTGAACCTGGGTGGGACAGGTGGAGGAAGGATGGGTGTTGGACTAAACATCTAATGTCTCTCCTAGGCCTAGATCCTATCACCTAAGGAAGGTCTCTCGCTCATAAAATTTTCCAACTGTCAGACAGAGTTGCTATGTTTTACAAAAGTACCACCTTACAGGGGCCGGCCCGGTGGTGTAGTGTTTAAGTTTGTGCACTCTGCTTTGGTAGCCTGGGGTCCATGGGTCCGGATCCCAGGTGTGGACCTATATACACTGCTCATCAAATCATGCTGTGGTGGTGTCCCACATAGAAAAAAATAGAGGAAGATTGGCAACAGGTATTCGCTCAGGGCCAATCTTCCTCACCAAAAAAGAAAGAAAGAAAGAAAGAAAAAAAGTACAAGCTTACATCCTGGGAGCGGTTGAGGGTATGGAAAATGGAACTCTTTCTTTTCCTGGAAACACAGAGAAACAAGGTCACTCTATGTTCAGTGACATGTTTCATGTTTATTTGAGAACACTCAAGTTATACAGCAGGTGGCTTCCTCACAGAGTGTGCCTTATTCGGTTGATTAATTGAATAAAAATGTTCATAGAAACAATCTATTTTAGTGAATCCTTTTTGTAAAACAAATGATTTGTATTATATGAATGATTATTCCAACTCATACATTTTTTAAATCTGTATTTTCATACATGGGGCTTGCTTAAAGTAAAGTAGACTTTTCCAGTTCATAGACTCAGAACTACAAGAGAGACTTTAGTGGTTACTCCACATAACCAATCCCCAAATCGCAATTTCAGGGTATTTAAAATACTGTGCAGTCACTGAATTGAGGCAAACTGTGAGGGCGGTGGTCCAGAGTCTAGGCTCCTAGAGAGGGCTGGGGGGATCGCACCGCCACTTGCCACTGGGGACAGCTCGAGGGGCAGAGTGCAGTCAGGACAGAGGCAAATGGACGATTCCTGAAAAGTAGGGATATCCAACAGAGTGACTTTCATTGAGGTAAGAGCTCAAGCTTAATGCAGAATTTTCCAGGAATGAATTATTTACAATTACTCCCTCCAAGTGCCTTCCTTGCAGGAAGATAAATAACTCAGGGTGCAGTGGGAATGGTTGTCTGGAGCTGGATTACAGGGCCTGCCCCTGAAAATCCTCCACTGAGCTCAGTGTTCTTCAGGTCCTTCCTGGGTCGTAAGAAAACAATTCCATTTTTTTTTTGTTTGAAATTGTATGTAAAGGCTGATATCCCCCTGGTGCTTGACCAACATGTTGTTGTATTCCATCAGAACAAACTAGGCACTTTTCACAGTTTCAGCACTATATCTCAGGGCAATAAGTTACCACTGTTCTGCTCAACCCTGGAAGCAATTTGGAGCGCACTGCTCAAACATCTGTACTTCTCTGGATCCTGGTTTGCTTGTCTGTGAAAGGTGGTTACTTTTCTGGTTGGGAGAGCTGGAATGGCCAGAGTTCCTGTCAGAAATAAAAGCTTTATATGGTTGCTTTAGCACTTGAAAGGCATCATTTCCTAGAGCTTTGGTGCCCTTCTCTTTGGGTGAGTTAAGCTTCCAAAGCTGCTTTGACTCTTGCTCTTTGCCTGCAAAGCCCT